GTTGATTTATATGTACTAATAAAATAAAAAGAAAAAGGAAATAATTAGAGTTAAAATATGTGGATTAGTTTTGTAATTGTTTGTTTGTTTGTGTGTGTGTGTGTGTATGTGGTGGGTGTGTTGTGTATGGTTATAAAAAATAGAAAAAAAAAAAGAAACAATTTAAACCTAATTTGTTTTTTTTTTTTTTTTTATATTTTTTTTTATTTTAATTTAAAAAATAATAATAATAATAATAAAATTAAATAATAATAAAAAAAAAAAATTTAAATTAATATCGATATTAATTGAGTTAATGTGGATACTTTTTAGGATTAAAATTTCTCTCTTTTTGTGTGTGTGTGTTAGCTACCACACTACTGAAAAAAAAAAAAAAAAAAAAAAAAAAAAAAAAAAAAAAAAAATCACTACAAAACAAGTAATATGAGACACAAAGAGACAATAATTTAAATATAAAAGGTTACAATTATAACTCTTTATTTTTACTATAACTGGTTGTGAAAAAAAAATAAAAAAATAAAAAAATGAAAAATAAAAAAAAAAATCTTTCTTAGTTCCAATAAAAAGAATAAAAAAAAAAATAAAAAATAAAAAATTAAAAAAAAAGGAAAAAAATATATTATCAAAGGAAATTAATAATATAGTTATATAACTTCTTAAATTTATTATTGAAACAAAATGATTATCAAAACTTAAAAATAAATGAAAAAAAAAAAATTTAAAAATAAAATAAAATAAAATAAAAAAAAAAATAAATAAAAAAAAAATAAAAAAAATAAAAAATGAAATTTTTAAAACGTTTTGGAGTATTTTTTTTTTTGTTTCTTTTTATAATTTTATTTTTTTACTCACATAAAACGATATAAACAAATAAATAACTAATCAAAAAAATATAAGAAAAAACAAAAAAAAAAAAAAATGAACCACCTAATTAGTAAATTCAATAAAATCGTTTATTTGAATGCAACTAAACAAACAAAAAAAATCAATTGTTGTTTTTATTCGACAATAAATAACAATAGTAATAATAACAATACCAACAAAAAAGTTGAAATTTCAAAAGAAAATCAAGAACTTTTATCCGATTTAGAAGAAGAAGAAGATTTCTCCAACGAACCATATGTCAACCCAAAAACAAAAGAAATTGGTGGACCAAGAGGACCAGAACCAACCAGATACAATGATTGGGAAAGAAATGGAAGGGTATCTGATTTTTAAAATAAAAAAAAAAAAAAAAACATACACACACACATATAGCAACCACTTTCAAAAATTGAAAAAAGAGGAAAAAATTAAGTTTTTGATGTCTTCTAAAAACTACAAAATAAATTATTTTTTATTTATTTATTTTAAATTTTTATTTATAAATAGATATATTTTTTTTTTTTTATAAATATAAATTAATTTATTTATGTGATTTTTTTTTTTTTCCCAAATATATATATAACCCTTTCCATTTTTTTTTTTCCTTTTGTTTTTTTTATTCTTATTTTATTTTATTTTTTTTAAATACTATCTTTTTTTTTTTTTTCCTCTTTTGTTTTTATTTATTAGATGTTGAAGTTGTGGAGTTATTTGTATTAAAAATTGACTCTACATTTCTTCTATTTGTTGGAGATTTATTTACAGCATCAAAACCTTTAAAAGTGAAACCAATAAAGGCTAAATCTTTATCCTTTATATTACCTTTACCCATGATATTTGATTTTTTAGTTGGTGTTGTATATGTACAGTTTGAATTTATATTATTGTTATTATTATCATTTAAATTTATATTGGTATTGTTGTAGTTATCATCGTCATCGTTTGGAGTTTCATCGTAGACATCAAAGTTTGAAGTATCAGTTGGACTTTTTAATTCAGGAATGAAAGGAGCTGATTGATTTCTAATGTTATCCCAATTTACACCTTTAAAGAATGGATGTAACTTAATTTCATCAGCGGATTTATAACGATCCTTTTCACAGACTAATCTTTTAATGAGATCAATGACCTCTTTTGAAAGTCCCATATCAGTTGGAATTTGAAGGGTCTCTTTACAATTGAGAATCTTTAAACATGTCTCAGTGGTATTATCTGATAGAAAAGGTGGATGACCAACTACCATCTCATAGAGAATAACACCAAGTGACCACCAATCTACCTCTTTATTATAGCCAATTTGTAGGAAAACTTCTGGGGCTGTATAATCTGGTGTACCAACTGCACTGTAAGCCAATGCTCTTCTTGCTTTCTTCCAAGATGCGATTCTTTCAGTTTGTGTCAATGGTGTTGCTTCAATTAATTTCATCTTTATTGTCATTGCATCACCTACTAACATTTGATAGAATTCTGATGAATGTAAACGATGGAATCCAGTACATAGACCTAGATCACAAAGTTTAACATGTCCCTTTGAATCTAACAATAGATTATCAGGTTTAATATCACGATGAATGTAACCCAATGTATGAACGGATTCAATGGCTAAGATAGTCTCAGCAATGTAAAAACGTGCTTGATTCTCTGTAAAAATATCATACTTTATCAAAAGGGACATCATATCACCACCTGGAAGATATTCCATAATTAAGTACAAGTAGTTATCATCTTGAAATGAATAGTAGAGTTTAACGACCCAATTAGTATTTGCACTCGCCAATACATCACGTTCAGCTCTAACATGTGCTGCTTGCTCCTTCTTTAGCATCTCTGATTTCTTTAATCTCTTCATTGCATACAAATCATTGGACTCTTTATGACGAACTAAACTAACTTCTCCAAATGCTCCCCTACCAATGATTTTTATCAACTCAAAATCTGATCTCTTTAATTTTAATCTCTTTATTCTCATATAATCAGATTCTTTTTTATCCAATTCCTTTCTAAGATCATTTGACTCTTTTGATGATAATTTCATATTCTCTAATTTTTGTTCTAAATCTTTTCTTCTATAATAATTGGAAAAATAAAATAAATAAAAAAATGGTAAAAAAAAAAAAAAAAAAAAAAAAAAAAAAAAAAAAAAAAAAAAATTTTAAATATATTAGAGGAGAATTAAATTTTATTATTTATTTATTTTTTTAATTAAATATTTTACCTTTGACCTCTTTCTTTAACTGATTGTTGGGCATTTATATAATATTGTTCAATATACATTTTGGCTGCTAATGATCTATCCATTGTATGTCTAGATAAAGGATCACTTGAATAAACTGTTGTATTATCTTCTTCATCCTCAAAAGTTTCCTTTTCATCATCCGACCCAACGTCAATTACTGATTCATGATCATTAATCATTTTTTTTTTTTTTTTTTTTTTAAAAATAATTTATTTAATAATAAAGTTGTGTATATATATATATATATATAAAAAGAAAGTAAATAATATTTATTATTATAACAATAATTATTTAAAAATTTTTTTTACAAAGGTTTTTTTTTTTTTTTTTTTTTTTATTGTGATTATTTTTTTTTAAAAAATTTTTTTTTTTATTTTTTTATTTTTATTTTTATTTTTTGTTGTGATTATTGGAATTATTTTTTTTTTTTTAATGATGATGATGGTGATATAAAAGTTGGTATGTAATAGGTATCTAATGTATATGAATATGTACTACTAATTGTGTATATAGTGTGAATGAGTGGGTGAGTGAGTGAGTGAGTGTGTTGATTACTAATAAAAAAAATAAAAAAAAAAAATAAAAAAAAAAAATTTTAAAATAAAAATAATAAAAATAAATACAAAAAACTGCTGAGAGAGTTAAAAAAAAAAAAAAAAAAATTAAAAAATTAAAAAAAAAAAAAGATGAGATGATCTATTAACTATTAATTAACTTTTATTACTATTAAATAGTGTATAGTTTTCTATAAAAAAAAAAATTAAAAAATAAAAAAAAAAAAAAAAAAAAAAAAAAAAAAAAAAAAAAAAAAAAAAAAAAAAGCAAAAAAATAATTAGGAGAAACTGATTGATCAATCTAAAAAGGCAGACCTTTCAGCCCTAAAAAAAATTTTTTTTTTTTTTTCTTTTTTTTTCTTTTTTTTCTTATTTTTCATTATCATAATCCCATTTGAGTGTCCCCCCAGTGAGAAGACTCCTCCTTTTTTTTTTTTTTTTTTTTTTTTTTTTTCTATTTTTAATTATTTATAAATAATTTAATTTTATTCTTTTATTTATTTTTCATTGCAAATTTATTTTTTTAAAATTTTTTTTTATTTTTATTTTTTTTATTTGTTTTTATATATTTTTTATGAAATAAAAAACAACTATTAACTATTTTTTTTATATATTGTTATGATTTTTTGAAGATTACAAAAAAAAATATTCCTCTCTTTTTTAAACTCCCCCGCATATCTCAAATTATTCGAATTATTTATTTTAACAACCATTAAAAATACCGAATGAATGAGTGTGGTTATCCTCTCAATCACCATATTAAAAATATCACAAGTTGTAAAAAGCCTTTTTTTTTTTTTTGAGGTTTAATTAAAAAAAAAAATTAAAAAAAAAAAAAAAAAATGAAAAAAAATGATTTACAAAAATGAAAAAATTAAAATTTTTATTTATTAATCCCCAAACAAACAGTATAATAGAAACATGAATTTATCATTACCTTTAAATAATAATAATAATAATAGTAACAATAATAGTAGTAACAATAATAGTAGTAACAATAATAATAATAATAATAATAATAATAATAATAATAATAATAATAATAATAATAATAATAATAATAATAATAATAATAATAATAATAATAATAATAATAATAATAATAATAATAATAATAACAGTGGTGTTACACTATCACCAATATTATCAAATTCAATACTTTCATCACCAATATCATCACCAAGATTAATAAGTTCAGGAAATTCAAATACAGGTAATAATAATAATAATAATAATTGTAATAGTAGTAATAATAGTAATAGTAATAATGATAGACCAAGAAGAGCTGGTATTCAATTAGATTCAGATGGTTGTTTAATTAAAAGAGTTATAAAAGAAGGATATGGTGAAATACCACCACCTAGATCAATAGTTACAGTTCACTATGAGGGATATTTATCTAATCAGGTTTTATTCGATTCATCAGTACAAAGAAATTCACCATTTACATTTCAAATGGGTACATCATCAGTTATTGATGCAATTGAACAATCAATTTCAACAATGAAAGTTGGTCAAGAGGCTGAGATAGTTACAACACAAAGATATGCATTTGGTAAATTAGGTTTACCACCATTTATACCTCCAAATGTCTCAGTTATCTATAAAATTAAATTACTATCTTATAAATTAAAATCAAATGTAAATATTTAATAATAATAGTTTAGTTATTATAATAAAAAAGAAATAGAAATAGAAATAGAAAAAAAGATAAAAAAAAAAAAACAAAATATTGATTAATTATTAATTCATTATTGGAAATATATTTTTTTTATTTTTATTATTTTTTTTCAAAGGATTTCACAACTTTTGAATCACTTGTTAATAAATCAAAAGAAGAAAAAGATATTGGTAATCAATTTTTTCAAAAGGGTAATTATAAGAAAGCGATTAGACATTATGTAAAGAGTATTTGGATATTGAATGATCCAGAACAAACATTGGGATTAAATGAAATGGAGAATAAATTATTAAAGGATACATTGATCATTTTATATTTGAATTTAGCTTCTTGTAATATTAGATTAAAAGATGGTAAAAGAGGTATAAGTAATTGTGAAAAGATATTGGAATTAGGTGGTAATACAACTGCAAAGTTTTATTATCGAATGGGTCAAGCTTATTCATTAAATAAACAACATGATTCAGCAAAAAGATGTTTAGTTCAAGCAATTCGTTTAGAACCAAATGATAAACTATTAAGAGATGAGTTAGAAAATATTAAAAAATTACAAGAAGAAATAAATAATAATAATAATAAGATCGTATAAAAAAATAAAAAAGTATTTAAACTAAATGCACACAAGTTTTTTTATTTAACATGTTTGTTTTTTTTTATTTATTTTAATTTATTGTTATTTTTATTTTTTATTTTTATTTTATTATTTTTTTTTTCAAAACATTTCTTCTTCAGCACCTTGTTCAACAGAAATTGTGGTAGTTGGAGTGTTAAAATCTAAATCGACAAGATCGAAATTAAAGTTTGATTTTTGGTCTGATTCAGTATGGGTGTTTTCATTTGATTTTGAAGTTGGAAGAGTATCAAAATCGAAATCCAAATCAAATTTAGATGAGCTTGAGTTTGAGAAAGCAATAGACTCTTGATGAACTTGTTCTTCAGTTTTATCATCGTTGCCTAAAAGATCATTGATAATTTCTTGTCTTTCTTTTTCTTTGCTAATGGTTGGTTCCTCTTGTTCTTGTTCTTGTTCTTGTTCTTGTTCTTGTTCTTGTTCTTGTTCTTCTACTTCATCAACTTGTTCTTCTTGTTCTTCTTCCTCTACTTCTTGTTTTGGTTCATCAAAAATTGTCTCTTCTTCTTTTTCTTCAGAGTTCTCATAGATATTTCCTTCTTGTTCTGGCTCTTCAGCTAAAACAACTGATTCCTCTACTTTTTCTTCCTCAAATTCTTTTTCTTCAATAGTTGATTCTTCTTTCTTTTCATCAACGACAATACACTCTTGTTTTTCTTCCTCTACTTTTTCTTCCTCAACTTCTTTTTCTTTAATAATTAAATCTTCTTTTACTTCAACAACCTCTTCTTCTTTATCTTCAGTGACTACTTTTTCCTCTTCTTTTTCTTCAACAACTTCTTCTTTTGGTTGTTCTAGTTCTTCAGGGACAACTTGTTCATTATTTTCATTTTCAGAATCAGATTTTACAATTTCATCAACAAATTTCTCTTCATCAACTTGTTTTTCCTCTTGTTCTGATTCTTCAATATTAACAGATTGTTCTTCCTTTTCTTCTTCCTTTTCTTCTTCTTTTTCTTCTTCTTTTTCTTCTTCTTTTTCTTCTTGTTCTTGTTCTTTTTCTTCTTCTTTTTCTTCTTGTTCTTGTTCTTTTTCATTATCATTACTACCAACTGATTCAGTTTCGTAAACCTCCTCTTTAAGTGGTTCATCGATTGATTTGATTTCATTCTCTCTTTCTCTTGATGAGTTTGATTCGAGGTCAGATTCGATGTCCTCTCCTTGATCAAATTTAAAATCATCCATTGAACGATCGATTTCAATATTATGAATCTGATCTAATTTGATATCGTCGATGTATTCTTTTTCTATGTCTGGATTTTCTTCAACTTTTTCTTCAACCTCTTCGACCTCTTCAACCTCTTCAACCTTTTCCTCAACTTTTACATCTTCATCTTCTTCAACCTCTTCAACCTCTTCAACCTTTTCTTCAACTTTTTCGACTTTTTCTTCTTCGACTTCTCCAACTTTTTCGACCTTTTCTTCTTCGACTTCTTCAACTTTTTCTTCAACTGTTTCTTCAATTTTCTCCTCGACAATTTTTTCAGCTTTCTCTTCAGTTTTCTCTTCAGTTTTCTCTTCTTCTACCTCAACTTTTTCTTCAGTCTTTTCTTCTTCAATTTCTTCTACCTTTTCAACAAGAACATCAACTTTTTCTTCTTCGACTTTGAAAATGACTTGTTCTCCTTTCTTTTCTTCGACTATTGGTTCTTCAATTTCAATTTGTTGTTCTTTTGGTTGAGTCTCTGAAATGGAGGGGGTTTCAATTACCTTTGGTGCTAAATCAGTTGACGATTTCTTTTTATCATCAACTTTTTTTAATGATGATGGAGTACCGTTAAGTTTAGTTGGAGTTAAAGTTTTAGTTGGAGTTGTAGTTTTAGTTGGAGTTGTAGTTTTGGATGGTGTTGATATTTTAGAGATTGTTGGTTTGGTTGGTGTTGCTGTGGTGGTTGTTGGTTTGGTTGGTGTTGAGGTTTTAGTTGTGGTGGTTGCGTTTGTGGTTGAAATAGCTGGTTTCTTTATTGCTGAAGTGGTTGGTTTTGGTGATGGTGAGGCGGTAGTGGTGGTAGTGGTAGTGGTGAGTTTAGTTTTTGGGTCAGTCTTTTTTAAATTAGATGATAATGGTGCTGGTTTTGGGGTATTTGTGGTTGTAGTGGTGGTAGCTGCTGGTTTCTTTGCAACTGAAGCAATTGGCTTTGAAACTGGTGCTGTGGTTGGTTTAGTAGTGGTGGTAGTTGTTTTTGGTGCTGATGGTTTGACACTAGCTGTATTTGGTTTTGCAATTATTGGTGTAGTAGTTGGTTTGACTGTGGTTGTGGTTGGTTTTGGTGTAGTTGTTACAGCAGTTGTTGGCTTAGCGGCAACTGGTTTAACAGTGGTTGTGGTTGGTTTTGGTGTAGTTGTAGTGGTAGTTGCTGGTTTGGTTGTTATTGGTTTTGATGGTGAAGATGTTGATGGTGTTGCTAATTTTCCATTGGTTGTTGGTTTCACTACTGGAGTGGTAGTTGTTGTTGTTGGTTTAGATGTGGTGGCTGGGGTTTTTGATGATTTATGAACGATATCTTCATATTTTTGTTGTAAGTCAGAGTTTTGAGATTCAAGATTTTTAATTGATGAAATAAGATCTTGATTATCTTTTAATGCTGCCTCTAATTTTGCTTTGTATTCCTCTAATGTAGAATCAAATAAATATTAGTATATGGATTTTTAAAGATTTTTTTTTCTTTTCAAATAGTGGTATGTGATCGTTTTGTCTCTGTTATTATTTCAAAATGATTGTTAGAAAAAAAAAAAAAAAAAAAAAAAGAAATTTACCTAACTCTTTTTGAAGATCGATATTTGCACCATCCCTATTCTCAATCATTTTTCTTTTATATTAATAAATATATTTTTCAATGTAGGTGTGTATAGTAATACAATTTTATAACTCTTTTTTTTAAAAAAAAAAAAACAAATAAAAAGAAAAATAAAAACAAAATTATCTAAACAACAAAAAAACAAAAACAAAAAAAACAAAAACAAAAACAAAAATGGCAATAAAAAAAGTTAGTGTACAATAATATAATTTTATAACCAAATATCAAAAAAAAAAAAAAAAAAAAAAAAAATGAAAAAAAAAAAAAAGTGAAAATGAAACTGACAGAAACAATTTATTTGAAAAAAAATTAAAAATTTTTTTATTTTTTTTATTTAACTAAAAATTGTTTCTTATTTTGTAAATAAATCCATTTGATTCTCAAAAAAACTATTGATATAAGATTTATAACACTAAAAAATAAAACAAAATAAAAAAATAAAAAAAATAGTTAAAAAAATGAAATAAAAATTAAAATTAAAAATAAAATAAAAATAAAAAAAAATCAAACCATAGCAATTGAATCTTTAAAAAAAAATTGATTTTTTTTTTTTTATATTTTTTTTTTTATATTTTTTTTTTATATTTTTTTTTTTATTTGATTAACCAAATAATAAATTAATTCAAAATACATGACCTTATTCAAGTTATTTTAAAATAAAAAAAAAAAAAAAAAAAAAAGAAATTAATTTTTAATATTTCGATTTTTATTTCTTTTTGTTTTTTTGGGGAAAAAAAAAAAAAATTAATGACCAGAAACAGCATCAGCTTCAGAGGTAGCGTTTTCATTAACCATTGAGCTAATGTCTGGTACAACCAAACCATTTTGAGTATCTCCACCACCAATTCCATTTTCGTCTTTATTTTTTGAAATCATTAACCTTTTCCTAATAAAAAAACTAATTACTATAATTATCACTAATGATGGTAATAAAACAATTGGAATTATCATTATTTTATTAAAGCTTTCACCACTACCAATTTTATCACCTTCGTAGTTTGAGTTGTAGCTATTATTTTTATTATTATAAGTATTATTATTATTATTATTAGAATTATTATTATTATTATAATTTTCAGAGCTATGTTTGTATTCAATAGTACTATTATCACTATCAATTTTTAAATCATCTATATCTACATAATTTAAACGACATTCTGTACAATTATTATCATCTTGTATTTTTTCGGAAATGAAATTTATTGATTTATTTTTTTTTGATTTTAAAATTTTAACTTTTATATCATTATTGTTACCCTCTGATAATACTTTTGAATTAAACAATGAATAACTATTAAAATCAATATCAATCTTTAAATAG